TTACTTCCTGAATTTTGTTCTGTGAAGAACCCAGAGAGGGTTATTTGATTGTGCTTTCTGGAAAACAATAAATTTTTACGTTTAGGCACTCCTGCAATCGTCACACTTTTTCTGTTACAAACTGACTCCGGCCCTCCACCAGAGAAGGGAAAAGTTATGTGGCCCTCACAGGAAAAAGTTTGGGGACCCCTGAGCTACACGCTCCTTCGAGGAGTCTCTAGGCGGGGGGTGAGGACGGAGGAATAGATGGTCACGCACAGAGATTCTGTGCAGAGTCCTCTCCTCCTCTCCAAATACTGTCCTTACTCATCGAGGCTGCAAACTGAAAAACACCCCCTCTCCCCTCCTCTCAGACCCCCGAAACAGAAACGATCATTTATTCAACAGAATAAATAAATTCCCTGTGGACAGTGCACGTTACGCACAGTGTCTCCAAACAGCTCTACAGAGCGCACGCACATCAGCAGGTGTCTGAACTCCTGCTACATTTCAGACATGATAAATAAAAAAAGCTTACTGTAAAAAATAAATTAAAAATACAAAGATAGAAATGTTTGATGTTATTCACATTATACATCACGTTTCAAAACAACAGTGCTAATTTGTCCAAATAACAACAGTGATCAAAACGTCAAAGACAGTCCAATTTACTATAATAAAAAACGGATGGATGGATGGATGGATGGATTGTCCTTAGTTGGACAACAGAGAATTGAATCCTCCAGGTGCTTCAAATGGTGCCACGAAACTGGAGCAAGAGCGGAGAAGAGTTCAGCTCAGAACCGTGAAGTGAGAGGAGGGGGTTTAGGACACCTGACAGAGTCGGAGCTGCTTCACACACAACCCTGAGGCTGTTAGACTCATGAATCTCTAACTAGAATAATCACTGTGAAAAACCATATCATGTTGCTGCTGATCTGTTTCATGTTGCTGCTGATCTGTTTCAATGTTGATGTGTTCATGCGTGCACATCTGCTCACAGACTCATGTTCATGTTTGTGCTGATGTTCAATGTTTTATGTTATGAGTGCTTAGTGTATATTTAGTTGATGTTTTTCTTAGTTCATATCTTAGATGTTATTACTGTTTTTCTTATACATTTTATTGTTGGATGTAACTGGGACTCTGTGTACATAATTTCGCTCCACCACATGTACCACATGAGGTGCGAATGACAATAAAGAAACTCTGACTCTCTGACTCTGTTCTTCTCCAGAATAGTAATTTCATTAAGTGTTTACAAATGTAGGTAAATGTTGATGTATAACAACCTGTTAAAATACACCAAAATGCAGGAAATGGCAACTCTGTTATTCAAAATTTTCTGCGAGAGGACCCACACCCCCCCCCCCCCCCCCAAAACAGCCTGCCCCCTGTTCCGGCATCCTTCAGTTTACAAATTAAGCCCTGTGTTTCATTGCTAGAATTTTTTTTTCATTTTTACTCAAATTGCTGCGTTGTTGTCTTGTAGAAAACAAAGATCAAATACACGTGACCTGCTTGATTTTGTAATGGTGATTGTGGAGATGTTTTAAATTAATTTCTGTAAATTAAATCTTAACATGAAGAACAGTTTGTTTTGTTAAGGTTGTATCAGATATGTGCAGCTGGAGGATGTTACTGAGATAAATAAGTCAGTCTGATATAAAAGGAATGTGGTTCAAGCCAAATAAATTTCTGTGAATGAAAACAATTCCAGTCTAGGTGTAAACCCCTTCCTGATGTCAAACATTATGAAGTAATTCTGCTTCAGTACCAGTCTGATTAGTTAATCATGAACACCTGATGTCAGACAGCTGCTTCAAGAGTTTCTTGCTGGAAAGCTGCCAGGTTTACTGTACAAAGTCTGTTACCATGGTGACAGACTTAAATATAAAGTCCAACACACCACCATTATAGTCTTGAATGATGTTAAGGGTCACTGTCATAGAATAAGCTGGTTATGTGTTTTTGCATTCGGGTCAAGCAAGTGTTAGAAAAAAACCTTAAGGAAACACTCGAGCATGCGGCCGATGATTACTGAAGGCTGATGACATCACGACCGAGATCAGGCACAAGCAGGAGTGTGGCACTCGGCGCACTCTCTCCCCCTTTCGTCTTCTAAAACCAGTAATGAATCTCCCACTTCCTTGTCGAAGTCCTAACGCTGTCTCCGTTTTTCTTTCTCATCACTGCCTCTTCAGTCTGAGAAGGTTCTGACTCCGCGGCTCCATCCTCCACCTCTAACAGAAGTTGATGCTTCATGTTCAAAAATAGTCTCGTTTTGACTCAAACACACAAACTGGCTCAGTTAAACACTCTACACCCTTCCTATAAATCCAAACACACTAAAAATCACAAATTTCTCAAATCTCATTACTCACTCTCTCGGTCTCTATCACTGCTGAACTTCCTTCAATTTCTGCTTCTTTTTCTCCTTATTCCTCTAGATTTTTTTTTGTGGGTGAGTTGTTTGTTAGTTCGGTGGGGGTGGGGTAAAAATGACTGGGGGATTGGGGTGTTTTCTCCATGAGACTGCCCATCTTTGATGCTGCCTCCAGCCTTGACCATTACAAATCTGGCAGTCTCAAATGATCAGATCCCTGGTGTGACGTCACACCCCGTATATGGAAGGGGCTGTTTACAAAGGCGAGACTGAAACGGCTAGAAAGTGTCATAAAAATTACGTTTTTAAAACCAGTTTACGTTACTTTTCAACGTTTGCCACAGAGCATAGGTATTTATTTATCACGCCTCTATCATATTTCACTCAATGTGTAATATGAAAAAATGGATGCTATGGATGGGTGTTGAACTTTCTGAACAGAAAATGTTAGGTTTCCCTAAACTTGAAATGGTTCATTTGAGTTTTCAATAAAATGCTGGAATACCCCCTAAAGTCTCCCACAGTTTTATGAGTCATCATGTCACTGTGTTATCTGCCAACTTAGCTATAGCTGTTTTTTAAAGAGCTCCCCGGTGAACATTTGGAGTGTACACCAGCGTGCTTTGGATCGTTTTATTTGTCAGACTTTTTGCATGATTCTCACTTTGCCAATCAAACAATATATTCTTGTGATGTTGTTCTGTTGAGTCTATTATCAAATTAAATACAGAAATTAGTCAATACCTTATCCAGGTTCTCCAGCTGCTCTACTGTAGTAGGTTTTGTCTAGAATGAGGGGAAAAAAAGATCAGAAAAATATCCTGCGGTTCATTAACATTAGCACCAGACAATTTTAATAGACTCAAAATAAGATAAGTGACAGAAAATAAGTATTGTTTCTGTAAACTAATGTGCTCATTTGGAACCAATCAAAAGATCAGTTTCTGCTTCTTTGAAGACCTCAGTGATTAGTAAAAAAGACATAGATGTTTAGATTTACATTTGTAATTAAAGACAAACCCAAAGCTTGGGCTGTAACTGAATGTGAGACAGTATGACAGACATTTCTGCAGTAAAAAGCTTTTGACTGAACTTTTTTTACACCTAGACACCCAAGCACCAGGTTAGGACTCTGTGGTCTACACTCATCTGCAGGCCAGCAGTCACTCTTTTAGGGATGAAGATGTTCACATCCTTGATAGAGAAGAATGCTGGTCTTTATGAAGAGAACTTGTCCATCATTAAACAGGGGCGGAGGCCTCCATGTTCACCTGTCCCCCTCTTATAATGATGTTATTGCTAGTATCACTTGGTCCTCTGTGAATAGCAAACAGCCATCAGTGCGCTAATAATCAATTGTTAGACTGATGGTCCTCCTCTTGCATGTGAACAACTAGTTTTGGCTGTCACCAGAAAACTGCTGATCCACTATGTGAAGGTGCTGCTTAAAAGTCTGAGTTTGTTGCAGCTCCTCAGACTGAAGAAGTCTTTTGGCTAAAAGACGAAACATTTTTCTATCCAGAGGCCCTGACTCAACCTTGTTAGTATTATTTGTGTGTTGTTTTTAAACTCTCATACCTTCCATCGAGAAATCAAGGCTCCCATTTCTGTCTGTTTCAGTGAGCTCCTCTTTAGGTTCACTATGAGAGAGAGAAACTCGTAAACACAAATCTAACAAGGTTTACTGAAATTATTGAGCATGCATCAGGACATGGTAAACACGAAGTAATACAAGGAATATATACTGGACACTAATTCAAGTTACAGAAGGCCAATTTTCACTCACAAACATCTGCCTTTGCCTTTCAGCAACTGGAGATAAACTTTGTCAAAATGCAACCATTTAATTTACCTGAATAATGCAAACCCATAATAAGAACTAAAAGTTAAACCTTCAGTGAGATATGTGTGTTTTATGTGTGTAAACAGTACATGGTGTTGTTTCACTATCTGAAACATTTTCTCTGTATGTTGAGAAGATAAAAGATTTAAACCTTTTAATGGGGGTCAGACATTTATCTTAAATAAATGTTTACCTGATGAAACAACGACTGCTGAACTTCAGTAAACACAATCGATCTGAAGAAACTACTACAGATTTTTTTCAACTATTTTAATGTTCACGCTTTGAAGATTTAAAAAAATCAACCAAGGAAAGAGAGCTGTACGTTTCTTTATTAAGATAAATTAATTAGATTTGACCCTGAAGAAAACCCTACATCAATAAATAATGTAGAATAAAACATGTTTAAAAACACTGATCATCATTACATATCTGCAGGGTGAACTTTAAAGCTGAACCGCCTTTTAGCACATTCAGCCACTGGGTAAACCTTATGGATGATTGTAAAATGTGTTTGTTTGGGTCAAATAAGCCTGTCACATTACTTAGTTTAGGCATGAACGCTTTATTATACAGCTAACATATATTTTCTACGTATGTTGGCGATGCACGCTAGCTGGTTCAGCATAATCTATATTAGTATTAGAATCATTAGAGAGGTATTACGTAAACTTGTAACTTTATCTTCAGTAACAGTAAAACATAAATCATAACATAAAAGTGGGCGATAACGTCTGGATCATGGACAGCACAGCTAAAAGTCTGCTAGCTAAAAACACTGTCCGAGAGCTACACAGAGCTGTCAAAGCAAACATATGTATGTGGGTCAAACGGCTTTATTTGTTTTAATTACTAAAATTTATTCATATACTTACATCAGGTGGAGTATGAATTGTTATTCACCGTTTGTACAGCCCAAGAAACCTTAAAAACTAGCAGCATTTGAACTGACACGACTGCGGCTACGTGTAAAACAGAAACAGCCAGTAGCCAACCACCGCAGAGCTGGAGAGGCGCTTCTTCTTCTACGGTTTCAAAAGTTTGACAAACGCGTTTCAGGTGCATTACTGCCACCAAACGGACTGGAAGGTGAACAAAGCGATTAGACCAGGAGTCTGCAATCTTTATTCATTCAACCTTTATTTATACAGGTTAGTCTCATTGAGTCTCGAGGACTCATTTACAAGACAGACCTGTTTTAAACAAAGAGCACAGATTACAACAATAGGCAATAATAAAAAGCATATAAAATAAGAATTTAATGGAAAAGATGAGGCAGCACGGTGGCGCAACTGGTAGAGCTGCTGCCTCTCAGCGAGCAGGTGCTTGGTTCAAACCCCGGTCCAGGGGCCTTTCTGGGTGGAGTTTGCGTGTTCTCTCCGTGCATGCGTGGATTTTCTCCGGGTACTCCGGTTTCCTCCCACAGACCAAAAACATGCATGTTAGGCTGATTGGTAACTCTAAATTGTCCCTAGATGTGAGTGAGAGAGTGAATGGTTGTTTGTCTCGTTTGTCTCTATGTTTCCCTGTGATGGTCTTGCGACCCGTCCAGGGTGTACCCCGCCCCTCGCACAGTGATTGCTGGACATGGGCACCAGCGACCCCCCTGACCCAAAATGGAATAAGCGGGTAAAGATAATGGATGGATGGAAGAGATGATGTACAAAACTAACAAGAACAGCTACATTATAAAGCGATACAAAATACTAAAAACTGTGTTGGGTTTTGCCATGATCTTAGCAGTTATTTGAAGTCACTTAGAGAGGTCACGGTTGAGCACTTCAGATATTTTTTCAAGGTGTTCCAGGAAACAGGAGTGGAGTAGGAGAAAGGCCCGTTTTCCTAGTTCAGTCCGCACTGAGGGTACACTGCATGTAATTATTTCCTGAGAGTGCACGCTGTAGCTGCAATGATGAAGTGACATGTAGGAGGAGATATATGAAGGCAGCAGACCAAGACGCGATTTAAAGATGAAAATGTACCAGTGTGAGTGTCTATGTAAAGTTAATGATGTCCAATTGACCAATGAATAGAGCTTTAGTATGTGACATCACTGTTTCCACCGAGCGGTGGCCAATGGGATATGATCGCCATCTTTGCTGTCCTTAATCATAACTGTCGAAAACAAAGATTTCTCGCTGAATTTTTTTAATCTCACCAAGATGGCTGCGCTCTCAGGAGCCACAGCTTCACAGGCTCCTGGTGCAATCCCAGTTTTTATGAGTTTTGAAATTGACTCCAAGCCTGACTCCGCACGCTTTATGCGTGTGAATTATAGCCAAACTGAACTGATGAGAATAAGAGCGGATTTGCCCCGGAATATAGCAGCGATCAGCAACAAACTCAAATCTATGCTCAGCAGAATGCAGATTCAGATTCAGATAGTCTTTATTGTCAAATTATGTACACAGGGATATTAAGGTTAAGGTTTCTTTATGTGACGTTCTCACCACATGTGGTGCATGTGGTGAAACAAAATTGTGTACACAGGGTCCAAGTTACATCCAACAATAAAATGTAAATGAAAAACAGTAGATCTGAGATATGAACTAAGAAAAACACTAAACTAAAAATACACTAAGCACTAGTAGTACAACATACGCCGAACAGCAGCATGAACATGAGTCTGTGTGAGCAGATGAGTATGAATGAGTACAGCAGTGTGAAATAAATCAGCTGTATAAAATCAGCAACATGAATAATCAGCAGCACACATCACAATCAAGTGGAATTACAGTGATTTTTTTCACAGTGATTATTGTGACTAGGAATTCATGAGTCTAACAGATTCAGGGTAGAAGCTGTTCCTCAGTCTAGTGGTTCTACACTTAAAGCTCCTCAACTTCCTGCCTGAGGGGAGCGGGTCAAAAAGTGTGTGTGCTGGGTGAGTGGGGTCCTTCACGATGCAGGTGGCCCTCTTCCTGCATCTGGAGGCGTAGATGTCTGTGATGGTGGGGAGACTGACTCCAACAGTCTTCTGTGCAGCCTTCACCACTCTCTGCAAAGCTTTTCTTTCTGCAGCTGTGCAGCCTCCATGCCTCTTCTTTATTCTTGTGGCCTCTGACAATGGACTTGTGTCTATACTGGTCCTGTTAGACCTCAGTGCTGCATTTGCTACAGTTGATCATAATAGTTTACTACAGAGACTTGAATATAATATTGGGATTACAGGAACAGCTCTAAAAGCTAGATTATAAGGCGAATGTAGAAAACTAAAAACAGGAACATGTCTGGCTTGGTCCTTGCCAAAATAATGAATCATCATCATACACCAAAGTTAGTCATGGAGTTACTCAGGTTTCAGTGCTTGGACCAGTACTCTTTACCTTGTACTGTACAAATGTGCTTCCATTAGGTAAAGTTATTAAACAGCATGGGATAAATTTTTCATTGTTATGCTGATGATACACAGTTACATTTGTCCATGAAACCAGATTAATCCAATTAGTATTTTAAGTTACAATCATGTCTTAAAGACATAAAAACCTGGATGACCCATAATTTTCTGCTTTAAACTCAGACAAGACTGAGGTTTTAGTTTTTGGACCTGAGCATTTTAAGAATAAATTTGGCAGTATTTCAGTTCCTCTGGATGACATTAATTTGGCTTCCATTTCTAAAGTTAAAAACATTGGTGTTGTTTTTAATCAGGATATGTCTTTTAAACCCATATTAAAAATGTTTTCCTCCAACTGTGAAATAATCACTAAGATTAGAAACATCTTGTCCAAAAATGATGCAGAAAAACTGGTTCATGCATTTATCTATCTATATCAATTGCAATTTTTTTACTGTCTGGGAGTCCACAAACTTAATTAAAATGTCTTCAGCTGAGCCAAAGTGCTGCTGCCAGAGTTTTAATGAGAGCTGGTAGGAGAGATCACATTTCTCCAGTTTTAGTTTCTCTCCATTGGCTCCCTGTCAAATTCAGAATTTAATTCAAAATCTTACTTCTAACCTACAAAGCTCTCAACAATTTATCTCCATCTTATATTACAGATCTTATTGTTCCATATTTTCTTAACAGAGCACTTAGCTCACAGACTAGAGGTTTACTTGCAGTTCCTAGAGTTTCTAAAAAGAGAATGGGAGGCAGATCCTTCAGTTATCAGGCTCCTCTCTTGTGGAAACAACTTCCAATCTCTGTCGTTGAGACTGACACATTATCCAGTTTTAAAACTAGGCTCTCCTTTTTGATAAATCCTATAGTTAGGGTCGGCTTGGGTTTCCTGAGCTGTCCCTTAGTTATGCTGCAATTGGCTTAGACTGCTGGAGGACAAACTGACCACTTTTCTTCACAATGCTACTGTCTTTACTTACTCTGCTCTATTGTTTGTATTTGTAATTATTTTTTCTATCCTAATGTGTTTTTGCGCAGCACGGTGGCGCAACTGGTAGAGCTGCTGCCTCTCAGCAAGCAGGTCCTTGGTTCAAACCCCGGTCCAGGGTCCTTTCTGGTTGGAGTTTGCATGTTCTCTCTGTGCATGCGTGGGTTTTCTCCGGGTACTCCGGTTTCCTCCCACAGACCAAAAACATGCATGTTAGGCTCATTGGTAACTCTAAATTGTCCCTAGATGTGAGTGAGAAAGTGAATGGTTGTTTGTCTCGTTTGTCTCTATGTGGCCCTGTGAAGGACTTGTGACCCGTCCAGGGTGTACCCCGCCCCTCGCACAGTGATTGCTGGACATGGGCACCGGCGACCCCCGTGACCCAAAATGGAACAAGCAGGTAAATATAATGGATGGATGGATGTGTTTTTGTCTTTCAGGTACACCTGGACCTACATCTGGACCTGCCATTCTGTGTTTGTTTGTCTCTCCTTCCTGTCCTCTCAAACCAGCCGGTCAAAGCAGATGGCAGCTTGTCCTGAGACTGATTCTGCTGGAGGTTTCTTCTTTTAAAAAGGGAGTTTTTCCTTTCCACTGCTGCTTTAATGCTTGCTCAGAATGAAAGACTGCAACAAAGTGAAGATTCAACATGTCTGCTGCTTCCTTAGATAGAGAAGTTTACTAAATGGCTTTTCTATGTATGTGAATGTTCCTGTAAAGTGCCCTGAGACCAGGGCCAAATTAACACTTCACTGTACCCTGGGCAACAATCTTCAAGGGCCCCATCATCACGACCCCAGTATCACCATAATCTGGCAAAATACAGAATAAATGACCATAATATACAGTAAATATACTTAAAATTCTAACTATCAAGTGTATTTTTATGTATAAAACTCCAAATGCTCATTGACACAAATCATCAAGACTGAATTAAGTTGAACACACTTTGAACACCACATGACACCATATGTGTACTTGTTTAGTAACGTGTTGGCCACTGGTGTCAGAAGCGTTTATAATGTGTGTGTGGGGGGACACACTGATGGGGATAAAGTCGATGCCATTTCCTGCATTCTGGGGTATTTTAATGGTTGTTTAACATCTAGTTTTACCTACATAAGTAAACGCTTGGAACACCTTGGGATTCCCCTGGAGGAGCTGGTCTAAGTGGCTGGGGAGAGGGAAGTCTGGGCCTCCCTACTTAGGCTGCTACTCCTGTGGATGGATGGAAGTAAACACTTGATTCAGTAGCTATTTTAGAGTTAATGGCACAACAAGAAGTAGCCTGACCAACAGCTGATTCAATTAATTTAAAATATTATACAGTGCCTTGCGAAAATATTCGGCCCCCTTGAACTTTTCAACCTTTTGCAACATTTCAGGCTTCAAACATAAAGATATTAAAAAAAAAAATTTTTTGTGAAGAATCAACAACAAGTGGGACACAAGCGTGAAGTGGAATGAATTTTTTTAACAAATAAAAATCTGACAAGTGGGGCGTGCAATATTATTGGGCCCCCTTGCGTTAATACTTTGTAGCGCCGCCTTTTGCTGCAATTCCAGCTGCAAGTCTCTTGGGGTATGTCTCTATCAGTTTTGCACATGGAGAGACTGAAATTCTTGCCCATTCTTTCTTGCAAAACAGCTCGAGCTCAGTGAGGTTGGATGGA